GCAGCGTTCCTCGGGGCTCTGTGTTTAGCCCGACGCTTTTCACCATCTACATGCGAGAGTTCCCACTCCCTCGGGCACCTGCGGAAGTAGTAGCATACGCGGATGATTTTACCTTCTTCTGCCGGCACCATCACATTGGTCAGGCTGCACAGCTCCTCTCAGAGTTCATGCCTGATGTCGTAAATTGCTTCACCCAGTGCGGGATGCCAAGTCATCCGCCCCTGTTTTCACGCTGGACCTGAAGGAGTTCAATCTTCCCCCGGCCATCATCATCAACGGTGCGTCTTTTCCGCACGCCCATAAGCCCAAGCTCCTTGGCGTCCCTTTCGATACGCATTTCATGCTCGCTCACGATGTCAGGGAGGTCGCAGGCAAAGTGAGCCGCTGCACCAAGGTCCTCAAGGCTCTAGCGGGCACATCCTGGGGCTGCGCGGACAAGACTTTTGCGACTACATTCAAAGCACTGGCGAAGCCGCACGTTACTTATGCGGCAACAATCTGCTCTCCTACGATCAGCTCTCATCTGAGTCAGGCTCGGCGGTTCCGGCTAACCACGTTCAAACATGCCTCCAGTGTTCTTGACTCCGTATTGACAGCGGGCTCGGAAAGTTGGGGGAAGAGCAAGTGTGGTAGATTCAACGCACATTTACTATTAACTTAAAACTAAGCAACGCGTAAGTCACCACCTCCGAACCACCGTGCTGTGGATAACATGCTGGACATCATCGAAATTGACGATAGAACTGGCCGGAATTAAGGGAGTTATATTTTACTCAGGGTAGCCACTGTGCTCGAAACGGTGCAATGTTTAAGTCAGTGAAGAGGTTAGGATAACTGAACTCGCATGTTTATACGTACAATAATTAACAGAAAATCTGAGAGTCTTCCTGTGTCATGTTTAGAAATCTATGCCTCCGTCACGCTGGATGCTTTTGTACATGAGAGAAAACGTGCTCTGAACTATCCTATTCGCTTTTTAATCGGATCAAGTGCACCATCAGGTAAACATTCACCTGCTTGACTGCTTGCGATACTACAACTATCCATGACTCTTCAAGAGGCATAAAAGTCTCAAGTCAATCAATATAATAAAGTGATAAACATGGACATATTTCAGGTTTTTACTATAAGTGTACTCAGTCGAAGCTTGCAAAGTGGACTCTGCATCCAAAAAATCGGTGTTTCTAAGGAGCGTATAAATATTTAGCATGAAATTTTCCACCTGAACGTATTGCATAAACCTTCGATTGCCTGAAGAACGTCAGGCACATGCTCTGCTCTCTCATATGGGAACCTTTATCCTTGGTATATAATAATGATAAATGTCCAGGGGTGTCTGCCTTTAAAAACCTTCCTCAAAACCGCAAAATGGGCTACAAACTTGGGTGACTGTTACCCGCCTTGAGGTGCTGAAGGGAGATAAAAGAGCAACGGTGCGAAATCATGAAATTTCCACAAAGTGCTTTAAACCAGTTTATTTATTTTCAAAACTAACGCTAGAGCTAAAAATCTACCCGAAAACCAGCTGGAAACTAAACTACACCTACAGTATGTTTCATTTTATCCGCACAATTGCAAATTGGTTGATAGCCAAACTCGGGAGCGCTTACTTTTCACGGATAGTTTTGATTATGCTGAGTGCCGCAGAACCCGGGGTGAGTCGCTGATAGCGTCGCAGGAGTTTGTGATAATTTATGAGTCCCGGCCGTACCTGCTCCTCCTTACCCTTGGGCGGTTCAGTGACACCATCGCAGTCGTCAACTGCACGTGCCAACATCTTGGCAAATCGGGTTACCTCCTTAGGTTCCACGTTCATGCCACACTCCCGCAGGATGTCGTACAGACGGGCTTCTGGCACGCTGCCCTTGTGACAGGGATCAGTCTTCTCAAATACCACCATCAGCGCATGATAGGGTTCTTCACACTGAAGTGTAAAAAGCCTTGTAATTAGAGACAAAACTCGGGCATTCGAAGTTAGAGGCAGCAGCAAATGACTTACGATATACTGGAGTGTCCTAA